CACCGTGCATTTAAAGATAATTACATCGGAGGCGGATATGTGGGGGATACTTTCGCGCGTCACGTCTATTCCTTTCGCGATTACTACCATCGAAGGGGAAAGGATAAATGAGCAGGTTGCGGTTACTCGAGGTTCGGGGATCGAGTGCTCGATTCGCTCCGGAATCGGCGTACACTGTCCACGTGATATCCGCCGCCCATAAGAAGATCACATTCGCGTTCGCGGGCCCGGCCGCAGGCCGCGGTGAAGTAGCTGCGCAATTTCGCGAAGCACCGTAACCGTAATTACTGTTATTGCAGGATATTTAATACACGGGGGCACGTAAAAAGCCGCGGTCCACCCCTCCGGACTGACCTCGCGGCCGCGTGGAGCGAGTAACACGAGCCACGAGATATAAACGCTCTCGCGTATAGCCGTTAGCTACGAAGGAGGAAACATGCTCGGGGTGTGCTTTCGCCTTTATAAATAATAAATTCGCGCAGGAAACGGGCGAAAAAGTTGACGAGAAAGAGAGGAGGGAGGAGGTAGGGTAAGGGGAAGAAATAAAATTGAACGAAGGGAAAGGGGAGAGAGAAGCGAAGCGGAGGGGGATAGTAAAAATGTGCGATGAAGAAGAGCACGACGACCGATACATCTACCGGTAACTTTACCATAAACAACATTCCTCACGCTGAAAAAAACAGATTTCGATAACTTTAGAGGAAAACGTGGAAAAAACGAAATTCAATTTGATTCAATTAAATTCGTCGCGAATGCAAGACAACAGTTTGCAATAATTTTTCGAAAGGAACAAGCTCGAGCGATTATCCCAAATTTGTGTTCGTCGATTTCCGTCAGTAAATTAATTTTTATCATGCACCTAACGCGAAAATACTAACTGTGCTGCGATCTGGCGCCGCAATAACGACACACTTGCCAAGTACAAGCGACATCAATGATGTAGAAAATTTTTACATATTTAATCTTCTATGTAACGTCTTTATGCCCAAAAAAAACCGGACGTGATCGCATTGTAAAACACAAATAAATAAACAATTAATTATATAATTATATGTAAAATAAGTTGAACTCACAAATCGCTGGCGTCACTGCGCTATAGTCGCTCTTGCCGCTCTTGTCGCTCGTATTTTCCAGTCATCGTGCTAAAAAATAATAATAATGAATAAGTTTGAAGATCGAACTATTACTTAATTTAATCGACTCATTATAGATGCAGTTCACTTAATGTTACAAATACTGCGAAGCATTTAATTGACGATCAAAAGAAAGAATTTTAATTGATTAATTAAAAATAAGTACTTTAATAAGTTTATAATACTAAAGATGCGGTCCACTTGGCACTCACAACGTTCGCGAGCATCATTTGTGTTTAATAAACAAGGATAAAAAATTAATTCTATGAACATTGTGCCAAGTGGAACGCCTCTTATAGAAATTTGATACTAGTACCTGCCAATTAATCACTTATTTTAAGTATTTATTATATAATAAAATATTTATTATATAAAAGTATTGTTAACAGTACTTTTAAAATAAGTGATTAATTCGTTACTAATATTAAATTTTATATCTATTATCTATCAAAGGTATTGTTAGCAGTACTTTTAATAAATACTCAAAATAAATTATTAATTATCTAGTAATAGTATTAAATAAATTTCCTAGAAGGGACAGTCAAGTGAACTCTCAAAAAACTACTTCAAAAAACGTCATCCGTTTGTTTGTAACAATCTTACCTGATACTCGGACGATAATATAAATATAACACGACGAATCGAGAATGTAAACATTAACTGACGATGCAAAACTAAATCGTACTAAAGCTAGATTTCAGTCTATCGCACAAAATCACGAAAATAAGCACTCTACGATCACAAAAATGGCACGCATCGATATGACATATACGATCGCAATTACGAATACGACAATCGCTCGGCACTTCTCTCGACATTTTGTTTAGCACTACTAAACGACAACTAAAACGACATGATAACCATAATCGCGTACGCGATTAAAATGATGATCGGTAGTACTTCACCTTTCTGATACTTAGCTCTTTATTTACAAGCTCGACGTTCATTCAAACGCGCAATTCACGATGAGGAAAAGACACAAGAGCACTTCTCGCGCCGATTACGAATTATTGCGATGCGGCGTGAAAATTGTAACGCATGCGCATTGACAATACGTTTGTCGCGATAGTCTTGCTCGCGAAAAGTTTGACCGGCAGCTTGTTGATGCTGTTTTATAGCGAGACTCGACCGCGATTGTCGAACGAACGTACGATCGCGCGGCAATCCGTTTACTATTTCCGGCATTGTATGGACGCGAAACTCACATTCGGTGATGCGGAAAACGAGAAAATCGTGAAGATCGCGACATGACATGACTGCACGATCGCGCTGCGGCGCGAAACTGTCATGGCGACTGCGCATGCGTGCCAAATCTTAATATTATAAATAACGATTTGATACTTTTTACTCTCAATAGTTGCTTTCCATTTTCAAGTATATATATGAGTATACATATGAGTCAAATTTATTAGTCTAAAATTATGTGAGTATTTTATACTCAAATAATGGCACTACTTAATTGCTTACTTTGGTGACAAAATTGTCGCATGTAAATTTTAATTTGAATTAATAATACTCACAATCAATAAAGACTCACGATCTTGATCTTATGTAGATTGTATAAGTTCATTTGTTAGAATGAAAAGGAACGTGTAATTGAATTTTGACGTCACAAGTGAAAATTATCTGAGTTTTGTATTCCATATAAATGGAATACAACTAAAAACAGTTATTTTATTGCGCTAATATATGGAATATTTTGTATCATATAAGTGCGAATAAATTTCGAGCAGATATATCTTTTCCAAACGATAAACTTATCAGATTTTGTTCCATCTCGCAATTGATTATAAATTGATTTTCTATCACCAACAAAATTACATTATCGAGAGATTGCTTGGTAAAAGTAGCTGAAATTATCAATTTTATCAACTTATGATATCATTACCTAATTTCGGTAATGCGAATTTCTGCAGTATCTTGTTATCAATATATTGAACTATTTTAAGTGATAAAAAGTCTTGTGACATGATAGGCGTGTTATATATATATATATATCTACAATAAAAATGTTGTAATCCTTTCTCACAAATGATCTAAACATCATCGGTAAAAAATTAAAAATAGAATTACATTGGAATCTTTTCGAGAACGAAGAACTGACCTAGCTTTAACGTCACATGTTTACATTCTCGATTAGTCGTTGATTGTATCAGAGCACCAGGTGTGATTATTACAAACAAGTGAATAACATCATTATACGTAATGAATTTTATTTCGATCGAAAAATAAATAATATTCGAACTTGTAAACTGTTTTATTACACTCATCTTTTATTGCTTCTTAAAAAGGATAATGATGTTAAATAATCTCATGTTAACCTACGAAATAGTTATATTACTGCGTAATAATTAATTTACTTTCTTAAAAATTGTTTGTTTTTTTTTTAATATTGTATTTTTTTGCATTTGTCAAGAACTTAAATGCAATAATGGGTAATGCGGGAAGCAATCAGCCTGTCGGTCATCATCACGGCACTACAGCAAACAGAGAGCGACATAGCAAAGATCATCCTCCACCTTCTCCAGGAAAGGAAGGCCAGGCATTCGTTTTCGACAAAAAACCTAGTCAGAAGCTTGTATTTCAGTCCTCCCACGAAGAAGAAGAATCATACTTTGCAAAAGTAATATCAAAATAATATTTGCATGCATGTAAAAATATGTTTTACATATACATATGTTATATTCATATTACATTGTTATTTTATTTGGCTATGAATAGACTGGCCAACAGGATGGAGAAGACTTTGGATCACAGCGTCCGAGATCTAACACAGTGTCTGAGGGTACAAAAGTTGCAGACAATAAGGTGCTACCAACAGTTTTCAAGTGGGAAGGAGGTGGAAAGCAGGTATATATTAGCGGGACATTCACTGGATGGAAAACATTACCGATGGTAAAGAGCCATGGAGATTTTGTCACGATAATTGATCTACCAGAAGGAGAACACCAGTATAAATTTTTTGTTGATGGAGAATGGAGACATGATCCTGGACTGGTGAGTGTTACATCTCTAAGCTTTATGCGTGTTATTTACAACATATCTGTACTTCGTATGTTGTGTAGCATATTAAATTCAGAGATTGTTGTTTTAATATTATAGAAAATTGTAGACAACGGCATGGGTTCCAAGAACAATTTAGTTTCTGTAAGGAAGTCTGACTTTGAAGTATTTCAAGCTCTGGCAAAAGATAGCGAAGGTGTTACCAGTAGCACTCAAATGGAGTATGGTCAAGAAATACCACCGCACAAACCTTGGGAAAAAATAACTGGACCACCTATCTTGCCACCGCATCTGCTACAAGTTATCCTTAACAAGGACACGCCATTATCCGTAAGTTAAATAATAAATATATAATATATTTCGACGAAAATTCAATGAGATTTTCTGCCATCATATATTATTTTTTTTTTCCAGTGTGAGCCTACTCTTCTACCTGAACCAAATCATGTTATGCTGAACCATCTTTATGCTTTGAGCATTAAAGACAGCGTGATGGTCCTATCAGCCACACATCGTTATCGCAAAAAATATGTTACAACTTTGCTTTACAAACCGATTTAAATATCAAGTCATTCCCGCGTTTGCTGGTGCTGTACATTTTTTAATTATCCCGAAATAACACAGGTGCCCAAGTGACACCATATTAATGCATAAGATTTTTATGAGCTTCTTTGAGGCAAGGTAGAAGATTATAATATTTAGAAATGATTGGTTTGTCGCTATGTTATACCTCAATCATGTGTATAATAATGTAATTACTATTTATTAAAGTCAGATATTTTATATTTGCTTTTCTCGCTATTATCAACAAATGGAATCCAAGGTAACAGGAATTATTTCGAAATATGTATCTTGAAAGAATATGATTGCTTGTAAATAATTTTCATTTAGATACATTATTGTTAGTTACTTCTGATACATGCGCGTAAGGCGGATCCGATCTCGTTCTAAGAAAATATAGACCCTCGGCGGTATGTTCAACATGCTCTCCCATGAGTACTACTTGCGAATTGTCACATTTGCCGCTTAAATATGAATCCCAATTATCGCATTTCTTAGCCGGTAGTCCTGTTTTCGAATTTATACTTTCCGTAAAGTATGCGTATGATCGCCCATGACTACAAGCCTCTAAAATAAATAAAAATGGAAAGAAAATGTTTCTGTTACAAAGATCTGCGCTTTTAATGATGAAAATACTTTACCCATTATCTCAGGAACGCAGCAGCATCCGGGCTGAATCGCCGTACCAGCGTTTGGATAAAAGTCTGCTTTTCCAAGCGGTTGAAGAAAGCCTAACACACCGCCGCAGGAATGTATGACGTCGACGAATACTGCATCTGTGGGATCCAAGCGAGTTTTCTCGGAGGCGAGTATGTGGAATCCCGGCAACGCTGGATCCAAACCTGTTACTCTGCTCAATTTCCCGGAAGTCATCGCACCGCCCGCATTCCCAGCCACGTGTGCACCAAGAGAATGACCTTATAAATCAACGGCCGATGAAACTGCGACTTATAAATAATAAATAATAAATAAATAATATTGTATTATACAAGACAGTGTACCGATAAAGTGAACGTCTTCCGTTTTCAGTCCAGTCTCTCTCATTAAGAAGTCTATGAAGTTGGCGGCGTTAGTCCCGACTCTTGCGGTGTTATGCATCGGTCCCAAATAAAATGTACTCGCAGCCAATGGTTCCCAGTCCACAAGAATGACATTGTAATCGCCGTGAGTGAGAAAAGCTGCTCGAAAAAATGAAAATTATCCGTTTTGCTAATGAATTAAGTCTGAATTAGTAAATCAATTAGAAAAACAAGCTACCTTCTTTCATATTGATAAGACTGGTACTCATGGCGCTCGACTTCCATCCGTGAGTTATGAATTTTGTTTTTCGCGAGGCTTTGAAGTCGGAACCAGCAAGGTTTGAGGTGTCATTTAAAGTCACTCGTATGCCTTTTTCCGAATTAGATCTTAAGAATAAAAATATTATGGAAACCATAGTTAAATGAATAATGAAAGAGAATTGAGGTATGATAGCATTTTGTTATAAATATTTATTTATTGGACTTGTAATTAGATACCGAGTGTAAATTATGTAAGCTATTTCTGAGTCTAATATGCCTCTCCTTTCGTTGTCTTGGACTTTTAACACTGCTACTTGAGGCTGTCCATTGCCGTCAGGCATAAAAATCCAATCCTCTCCGTAGCCATCATATCTTTGACGCAAACCGCTGTCCCATTGTTGCGAATAAACAGAATATCGCAATGTAACAAGAATGAAGATTTGTTTCCACACTAGATTCGGTGACATCTTACTTAAGCGGTATTTAATATCGTTATGAGCAAAGAATTGATTGCGAGTAGTGCAGATCATTAAAACTGTGAACAATGGTCACAGCAATTAAATTACTGATGCCGCAAAACGGAGACTCCTTTTTAAATCCTGGCGGTATTACGATAAGACGCTAATACCCTTTCGTTTGGCCTAGTTTTTCTTTTATCTCGCATGTTGTATCGTAAGCACGGAAGTACTGTCAAGCGGGGGATTATAATTATATTCAAAAGGGTACAAGTTTGAAACAAATAATGTGCAATCTCGTGCGTGCATATCGCAGGCGACGTTGAAATCAGCGTTGAAACGGGCTAGTTAACCGATAATTTTACAAACCTCGTAAAGTAATTCAGTATTGTGAATTATTTGCATTACTTTTCTGATACGTGTATTTTAAACAATGCGGATCACATTGAAGATAATCGCTTGCTCGATACAACATAATGCTTCGCATTATTCAAAACAAATACTGCAGAAGTAAATGTGAAGGGATAAAGAAATTAATAATAAAAAAAGTATAATATACAAGATGTTTCACAACCACAATATTTTCACAAAGCGTATTCTAAAGATAAAATAGAACAAAAAATCCTGACAGGAAAATGTCGAGGTCACAATCATTTTTTTTAATTATAATCGATCAAACAGCCAATAGTATATCGCGAAGAGTCCGCGCGCTTAGCTCATAGTTATACGCACATCGATCTAATATTGCGTTCACAATTAATATTGAATTTTTTTTTATTGCACAAATAAGTATTATGATAAGAATATATAATTTCAACAAATCAAGATTTGCGATTTAACAGATATTTAAATTGCTAAAAAAATGTGAGCCATTTAATCTTATTTTGATTTATTAATATCCGATTACATCTTATTTTTTATTAATACACAATTACACGATAATTAATTAGTTAATACACAAGTTTTATTCGTCTTGAGAAAAATGTTAAAGAAACAATAAATTAAATTTTATTTCTTATGTTGTTCTCAAGTGTGAAATTTTTGTGTTAGATTTAATAATTTTAATGACAATAATTGCTAATGCTTTTAATAATCAGTTGCGCAATAAAAAAAAATTCAATATTAACTGTGAATACAGATCGATGTGCGCATAATTATTGCGAGCACAGATTTTACTAGTAGTACGTGATATTGGCTATAATTAAACTATTTAACTATAGTATAAGAAATCCTATTAACAGTCGAAAGTGAGATAATGCAAATAATGCATTAATATGTCCTTTTCAAATAAATATGATTGCACGTCGATAACTTTCGGACTTTCAACACAATCAATCTGAAAGAATAATAATCCTCTCTAAATTAAATTAGAGAATATGTAAAGAATTTACTGAAAAGAAATATAATCTCGACCGGAGATCAAAACCGAATCTCTTTCTGGGCGAACGTCCTCACGTTAGATAACGATGACTGTGAACGGTTGTAATTAAAAAATTATTGTGATCTTGACATTTTCGTATTAGGATTTTTTATTTTACTTTATCCCCCTCCCCCCCAGACTTTATTTTATACTATGAAAGTATTATACAATAGTTGTGAAACACTCTGTATAATACAAACATGTATTCACAACGCATTAGCGCGCTAATATAATATACTTTACATTACGCATATTATAGAATTTCAAAGATAAAAGCACATTCTGAATATATACGAGCCAATATAAATATCATAAGCTACAATTTGTTTCCTTATTTTTCGTATATTTTAAGACTGGTAAAAAACATACTTCATAGATTACATTTAAGAATTTTAAAACATTATTCATACATAAGTATTACAAATATAGTAGAAGAATTAGATGTCTTAAATTCACGTTTCTTTTTAATGTTTTATGAAATGAAAAAAAAATATATATATTTATCAGATTATATTTTCATTAGAAAAGAAAGAAAAAGACTACTTACTTTCTTCACTTACGATAGGTTTTTCATTAAAGTCAATATAAAAAACCTACAAAAGGTACTTTGGGGAATAATCTTGTAAATATCATTAGTTCTACATTAGTTGCATCATATGTATATCTACGATCCATGCATATGAACGTAAATCCTATAGAATGTTTCTTTAATTTTACTTTGTTCCTTAAATAACTTTAATTTTGCTTCGATTTGCTCCTCTATAATACAGTCCTCTTTTAACAATTGTATATATATCCATATTATAGTTCTTGCATTTATAATTGATTACGTTGACTCTTATATGTCTTATACTTCTTTACACTGATTTAAACTGTGCGCAGTTTTTATTATTTTTAAGTCTGACATACATTGGTAATACCATCTGTTTTATTTATTAGTTTGTACACTGTGTTATCTTTGATTCATCTGAATGTTAATCATCACAATATTCGAAACAGTTGTAGTGAATTTATCGTTAAATATGAATAATTTGCAGATCCTTTGTCTTTCGACTCTGATTAATTTTTGATGTTCACGTCTTTCATAGCTGCATGGGTGAGTAATTTTTCTTTATCAAAAATAACGTTTTTGATATCTGCACAGATTTTTATTATATTATTCATTGTCACTGGAATTGTCAAACATTGCCAATGGTTGATAATTGAATTGCCGTCTTGTCATGAAAAAGTGAGAATTTTACAACATACGTTCAGACATATTGATGATGACTCGAAAGCAGGCCGAAACGTTTATGCATAACTAATTATACTATAGTTTTTTGACAATAAACGATTTTTATTTTCGCATTAACAAACTCTCATTAACAAACTTTCATTAGCCTTTTGTTTTTGTTTTTTGATATTCTCGAGAATTTGGTTACTTGTTTTATTTAATAAATGTTTTAATTATAATTAATCGACCACAGCCCAATTCACAACGTATTCAGAACGTATTCATTTCATCCTTGTTGCTTATTAAAATTAAACAAATACATGGAAAAAAATTAATTGGATGGACAACAAACTTATAATTTACTATGCGCATTCAACATTGATAGCTAAGAAGATTTAATGGTTAATAAATCGCTAATGTTATTCAGCTGTCAACTTTGCAATTTTAATATAGAAAATTGACTGTCTGTAAATATTACGACTGTAGATTTGCTGAATCAGTGAAGTTTTCAGCTGTGTATTAATGATGATTACAAACATTGTAAATCATTGTAAATTATTGAGGCGTCGGATGATTCGGTTCGGTCTGCGGACTAGCAATTTATGGATCCGGGTACAATCTCATCCTCATGCAGAAGCAAATTTTCTTATGTACATATATATCTGCCATGCTCGCGAGGTCCTTGCCATCTAAGTATTGAAAAATAAGTCTGAGAATATTGTATGGTATAAAATTCAATACATTTTCATTGCTCCGCATTGTAACGTACTAAATTCTTCTTTGTAAATTTCCTTTAATGGTCTCTCCATTGATCTTCTTTGGTGGAAAATATCTTGTCGATGACCATAGTCATTAATATTTCACATGCGACTAGTTCATTACCAGATCTAGTATATTCTAGAAGGGTTACTCAGGTAATATTTTTTCCTAAGGCGGAAATGTGAAAAGCGAAAATTTTTTGCATGTACATACATATATGTACACACACATCATAAAAATTTCCACTTTCATTTCATTTTTTCTATTTTAATCTATTTAAAATGATTTAAAAATAATAAGATTTAAAATAAATAAGTCTTTAAAAATTCACGAACATATACTTTCAATTTTCTAGATAAATGTTTAAATTTCATTTTAAATAATAAAATGTATCTAAGTTAATTCGTTACTAGAGAAATTTACACGAATATTGACACGAATATAAGACAGGAAATAGTAGTATTGTTAGGGCTATTTTTCATCAATTTCGATAAATACTAATTGGTTAATCATTACGGTTTGTGCCAAAAGAAAAAGAAAGAGAAAACTTTCTAAAACATTAAATTACTGTTAGCACTTCTGCGAATTGATCGATGATTAATTTAACCAGAATTTAGTGAGAGGCCCTAAGTCTGATATTTCAAGTTTGTTGACTAACTACAAAACAGAGAGATTTTTGAATTTCTCTATTCTGCAGCCAATCAACGCGCTTAAAAAGTTTGTCGACACATAAAATATCAGGCTAAGGCTGATATCATTTATCGTTTGAAAAAAAACAAATTTTTTAAGAATGTTAATTGGCTATAGGACAGAGATTTGAAAAAAAAAGTCTTTGTCCTACAACCAATCAACAGGCTTGAAAAGCTTGTACGACAAAAAACGGATGAATGTAATATTAGCCTAAGAATTAATATAGGGTGCCTTCCATTTAGTAATATAAAGGGTCAATACAAATATGATTCTGTCTTTGTTACTTATGGAATGCGAAGATAGAATAGTATTTATGTCGACTTGTATCACTAAATGGGAGGCACCCATACACGTACAAGCAAATTATATTATTAAAATCCTAATTTTTTAACAATTTTAATGATCTTCTATATGCTATACATATTGCACTAAATGCAATATAGGAGTGACAAATAAAGCGACAAAGGTTATTATTTCTATAATTCTTGCTATATCTTCTACATTTCGCTATCCGGGAAAAAACACGAAAGAATAAAAAAATAAAAACATTATATAGTACGAATATATAATAATATATTATTATAAGTCATAACTTGTTTCCTTATTCTTCGGTAACATCATTTTAGGACTCGTACAAAACACATATTCACAAATTACATCTAAAAATAAGGTACAAATCTTTATACATAGATTTATTGCTTCGTTATACTGCATATTTTGTTTTGTGAATATCGGAGCACCATTGCTTTCAGATCTCGTTAATAAAAAAAAAAAATTGGTAAATACAAGACCTAAATCTAGTAATGCACGAGTGATAAAATATGTTGTAACACATAACACTCATACGTGTCTTTTTTCAAAACATCAACCATATGTAAGTATCAAAAACACAGTAGAGAATCCTTTAGACCAAGATTTCGAGCTCTTACATTTACATTCCTCGATGTTTTCTAAAACAAAAAAACTTATATATCGACTTATTTTCATTAAAAAGATATTTTCATTAACAAAGGAAAGAAATAACTTACTTTCTTTGTTTACTTCATCAACGATAGTGGATTTTCCAAATTCGCCATAACCAGAGCAACCTACTAAGGGTATTTTGGGGAATAATCTTTTAAATATTGTTGATTCTACATTAGTTTCGTTATACATTTCATTTCCGCGAGCTATGCACATGAACATAAATCCTATGGAATGTTTCTTTAACTTGACTTCGTTCTTAAAT